ACATTACATGATTACCCACCTTATGATTTGTGCTCCAGTGTTGGATGTTTGTATAAACACACACATATGGCACATTACATGATTACCCACCTTATGATTTGTGCTCCAGTGTTGGATGTTTGTATAAACACACACACATGGGGCACATTACATTATTACCCACCTTATGATTTGTGCTCCAGTGTTGGATGTTTGTATAAACACACACATAGGGCACATTACATGATTACCCACCTTATGATTTGTGCTCCAGTGTTGGATATTTGTATAAACACACACATAGGGCACATTACATGATTACCCACCTTATGATTTGTGCTCCAGTGTTGGATATTTGTATAAACACACACATAGGGCATATTACATGATTACCCACCTTATGGTTTGTGCTCCGGTGTTGGATGTTTGTATAAACACACACATGGGGCACATTACATGATTACACACCTTATGATTTGTGCTCCAGTGTTGGATGTTTGAATTGCTGTTGTGATTTAATTTTTCCTTCCTCTCACTCAATTTACAATTCATTATATATGTATATATACAAACAAAAGGTAAAAACATGTAATAATGTTAAAATAAAAGCATACCAAGGTAACACAAACAACATTACTTACTTTTAATTTAATAGAAAATAAATATTATACTACTCACTGACCACATATTTCAGATTAGGTCGAACAAGGACAAACAAAGGCATATTGTGGCCTAACAGGAACAACAAAAACTGCTTTATACTCTTTGTTTTCTCTATCTATTAAATACCTTTCAACATATATCCCAGAACAAACATTATCTTTACATGTACAGTATTACACTTTTATTCCAAATTCCCTTCTCTACTGAAAAGCCAAAGTACAATAGCAAATATAACTTTTATCATTAGCTGTACCCTGACATTATGCAGGAGTTTTACACCGGGAGTAATGGTCAAGTACATAAGGTTAACAATTTATACAGTTACCATACAGTTTAAACAAAGAAAAACAGGTTAACATATTAAATGTTTATCTACATATATTTACAGTCTTACATATTATCAGCCGTAAGATGAATATAAGAAAAAGGACACATTTTTCTAGAAAAACCTGCTAGAATAGAAACCACTTTTAGCAAAACATTAATAGTGTATTTCTGTTACATTCATGTGCTATTTATTAATCACAATAAAAATGTATTTACTTCATAATGTAACTGTGAATCAATCATATATATATATATATATATAGTGTAGATCAATTGTGGACTCAATTCACTGATACATTTTCATAATGATGTATTTATTTTTTACCCAACAAAAACACAATGGTTTACTGCTCTAAATCTTGTCCTTTTTTACAAAGGATCACAAACATTATAAACCAAATATGAAAATGAGAGTAGGCTTCTTTTTTTTTAAACTAGAATTTCTTGATACAGACATGTGCTATTCAGAAGTTTAAGGAACAAGGTGTGAGCAAATCTCTAGTAAGACAAACTCAGACTGGAAGCCAGGTTTACAGAAAATATATTCCATTTTGACTAGTTAACTTCAAAGTGGGTTTGAGTTTTCTGAAGAGTCAAGGTCTTATGATAAGATTGTCACATTGACAGGAAAGGAAGAGATAAACCATAAGAATACCACAAACAAAACTAAGATGGATACTGAGCAATATATTTCTATTCTATTTTTGTTGGGTGAAGTTTTAGTTTTGTAAAATAATGAAGGCATGCAGCAGCTAAACAATAGTGTAGAAGTGCTTGTGTGGTGGGGAAGGCAATTATTTTGTTAACTATTTGTATTCATAAAGTTTGAATTTTATTCAAACACTTGTTTTCAGTTTATTATGAGAAAGCTGGAAATTTAGACTGTGAAATTTTGGAACAAACAATAATGTGTTTTTTCTTGTTTTGTTTTTGGGGGGGGTCTTTCTTTTAAACGAAAAATTCACTTTTATGAATAATAAATAATATATGATATAATAAATGAAAAAAAATTATTATAAATGTAGCTAAGCACCTCATCTGATTATATACAGATCGTACAAATGTCAAACAGAAGTATGATATATCAGATCAAGAACACACTTTTTTTTAGAAAACATTTTTTGTAACCTTTCTCTATCCAATCACTTGATTCTTTTCTATATCATATAACCAAAAATACAAAGCACAATTCTTAACAATTAGATATTTAAGTACATATGTATACAAGTATTTTTGTGATGTTGGATATATTTCACTTACAAAACAAGTTTTAGAAAAATTCCTGTTCAATGTTGAAAGACTTCTTTGAAATATAAAGATGGTGGCATTTGATTATTATATTCCTATCACTAGTAAGTAACAGTACAGAGAAAAAAGATAAATACAATTATAAAGCCTTCAGGCCTTGATTTGAAAGCTTAATTCAAAGCAAGTAAATGTATCACAGTATGTATAATTACCACAATAACAGGACCTAATATGGCCACACAGTATAATGTTATATTAGAAATGGTCGAGTCTTTATAAGGGTAACGAATGGAGTCATCATCACAGAAAAATCCTCTTCTGTAAGGTGTTCCAATAAACAAAAAGACAAGAAGAGGAACTCCAACTACAGAAAAAAGAAAAAAGGTTTAGGTATCATAGTCATTTTAAAAAAATTAAGATATTTTGGGAGCACATGAAAACTGACAGTAGTGCATACAGATTTATTAAGTCAGAGACTTCATGTTTCCTTTGTAGTTGTATTATAAAAATGTGATAAAAAAAAATTGTATGAATTAGGTTTGTTTTGTAACATTTCTTTAATCACATATATTGAATGTTATGGTAAAATTAGCAGTGAAGATATTTTTATTATCTCCCTTGAAAAGAGGAGTGACATTAGCTAACTTCCAATCCTTTGGCACCTGCCCACTATTCAAGGACTTACAAAAAAAATAGTAGCAAGTGGTTCAGATATCCAATCCTTAACCTCCTTCAAATACCTCGGGGAAATATTATCTGGCTCAGGAGCTTTATTTATTTTTATAAACTTCCCAATTTCAATCTTGTTTCCATCTATCAACTGTTCAAAATGAGGAATACTGCTCAAATCTTCATTAGTAAAAACTGATGAAATATCAAATTTAATAACATAGCCACCTTAATCATCAGATACTTGAAATCCTTACTGTTATCTTTTACATTTTCAGCCAACCTTTTTTCATATTATATGTTATGATGCTGTACATGATTTTCATGCTGTGAGTGTTTATTTACTTATTATAATATAAATTACAATAAATTCCATGAAAATAATTGATCATGTAATGTAGCATGCTACTCACTGAACAAAAAACATGGAAGGATTGATCACTCTTACTCTTTAAGTTCAACTAATTAATTTTTGCAAGAGAACAAACCATGTTTTTTGGTTAATAAGTTATAACATATATATATAACATAATGTTTTGGGACAACATGGGACCTATTGGTCGATCTCTGCTGTTCCATCCTCTAAACTAAATTAAAATAATTTTAAAAAATCCTAAACCCAGCCCTTATCGTTCATATACTTAAAGCTTTTTCTTAAACTCACTTAAACTTACTGCCTTTACATCTGAAGGCAACCCATTCCAAATGCCAACTACCCTGTTAGAAAAATGAAACTGTCTTGGTTGAAGATGACTCGTACCTTGCCAAAATTTATATTTGCGTCCTACTATTCTCAGTGTTAAATATGAAAAAAGATGATACATTAACACTATCGATTCCCTTTACTATCTGAAACACCTCAGTCAGATCCCCCCTAACTATTCTTTTTTCAAGAGAAAAGAATTTGAGATTTTAGCCTCTCCTCGTATGGCAACCCCTCCATCCCAGGCACCATTCTAGCAACCCTTCTCTGAACCTTTTCCAACAATTCAATGTCTTTCCTAAGGTAAGGAGCCCAAGACTGAACACAATACTCCAAATACGGCCTAAACAGTGACCTGTACAATGAAATTATAACCTGTTTAGACTTGCATTCAAAACATCTGTAGATACAACCTAAAATCCTATTTGCCCTACCACTAGCAACAGCTTGAATGGCTTTATAGACTGATCAACAATTACACTAAGATCCCTTTCTTTCATAACACTGTTAAGGTTATTCCCATCCAAATTATACTTATAATTCAAAGTATGATAACCCACATACATTATCTTGCATTTATTATAATTATAACCCCTCTGCCATATATTTGCGCAACTCATTAAATGATCTAAATACTTTTGTAAATCAGCAGCATCCTCTTCACAGCTAGCAACATCCAAGACCTTAAT